CCTTACTAAATGAAAGATATTATGTCACACAACATGCAAGTTTATGACAGTAAGAATGGAGCTAAATGCTGCCTGTAAAGGTCCAAAGCACAGTGCAGAAAGTGTGACGTGCTGTATCTCAAATGACTAAAAGTGGAATGTGGGACCAAGGAGGTTATACTGGAGACACTATAACTTCTTTCGTATGAGAACTTGTTTGAAGATGTGAAAAGGAGTCTAGAAAAGTGTGACATACTGTGTAATTAAAAGCAGTAAAAGCTTTAGTGACTGGATGATTGGATTTTAGGATAGATATGTTATTAGCCTGGGTCTGTTGCTGAACAAATGAATTATACTCACAAGTTACAAGTGCGCCCACTGTCTTCTCTCACTGCTTTGCTGTCTTATTTCCTTCTGCATCTTCAAGTCAACTGGTTTCCTGTCAAAGCCATCATCGCAGGTTTCTCCCAGACTGGACAGCCAGCACACACCTAAAAATAATATGAAAGGATGTGTTAAGGAAAAACATCCCCAGGCAACACTGAACAACCAAACTAATAATCATGCAATTTAACTATCCCATTGATTGAATAGATATTGAAAGAGTTAGGCTCTAGAAAACTGCTTTTAAAAATGCTGTACTTGTAGCATGTTACACCTTTAGAGTTCTTATTGATAATAACATGTGAGGCAAGGAATAAGTCATGTAAGTTGTCAAGCAAGTTGCTTGAATCGATGCACAAAAAGTTAGTATTAGGCTTTTCAAAGTGTTACTAATAGCAAGCTATGCCGCAGCTTTTAATACATCCAATAGAAAAGGAAAAATCTATGACATTGTTGTTAAGTATTGTCTCACCTGCATGAACAGGTACAAACTCTGTGTCTTCAGGTCAACTGGTTTGCTGAGCCGTCATCACAGGTTTCTCCCAGTCAGGACAGGAACGCCAGGACACACCTAACTAATATAATGAATAATTAGTGTGATGCTCCCCAAAAAATTTCCAGGCAACTAGGTGACTATGAAAGTGATAAAATCCTGCAATTTAACTATACCAGTACCCCTTTGCTTAGATATATACACGGTGTTAAAAAAGTAACCTGCTATGCCTCTGAGTTCTTAACACTGAGAAAAAATAAAGTTGAAAGCATTGTCTCACCTGTACAAACTCTTCACTCTGTCGTCAACTTCAAGCTGTCTCATCTAGCCTGGTTTCAACAGGAACACCAGGACTGCCGACCCTAATTGTAACAGTACATAATCATAAAAGAACAATTGATGCCAGTACATGACTATTGTATGAATGAGTAACTAGCTACCAGGTAAAGATGATCTCTTGTATGCGACCTTTTACTTTGCCTCTTCCTAGAAATGTTGACAAGTGTTCAAGAAGTGTATTACTTAGTGTAGTAATTTATTCAAGTCAAAGGCAATACAAAATTTATGTGAAAGATGTTTTGCTCAAGAAGTGAAATATACTTAGTGTAGTAATTTCTTGAAGTCAAAGGCAACACAAAATTTATGTGAAAGATGTTTAAAAAATTGCTACATGTGTGTTATGTCTATAAAGTGTAAGACAAAGCATTGTCTCACCTGTGGATGTTGTTGTCATCAGTTGCTCTTGTGTCTCTAATCACCTGATCAGGTCCAATTTCTCTTGTCAGGTTCAGACAAGAGTCTTCACTACTGCATCAGTCAGCAGCCACCTAACTATACAGACATTAGAAGTTATACACTTGTCTCAAATAAAGTAAATAGTAGGTTGAATGCAGAATTCAGATTTTTCTCACCTGAGAGTCATCGTCGGTCTTCAAATCACCTGGTCTGGTTCAATCTTCTCCTGTCAGGTTTACAAAGAATTCACCACTACTGCATCAGTCAGCAGCCACCTAACTATACAGAAATTACAAGTTACACACTTGCCTCAAATAACATCAAATAGCTGTAGTTAAAATGCAGGATTGGGATTTTTCTTACCTGATATTCCTCTTCGGTCTTCAAATCAGCTGGCCTGGTCCAATCTGTCTTGTCAGGTTCAAACAGTAGTCTTCACTCCTGTATAAGTCGGCAGCCACCTAACTATGCAGACGTTAAAAGTTACACACTTGTTTTAAATAATACCAAGTAAATGGTAGGTAAAATGCAAAATTGGAATTTTTCTTACCTGATATTCCTCTTGAGTCATCAAATCATCTGGTCTGGTCCAGTCTGTCTTGTCAGGTTCAGACAGAAGTCCTCACTACTGCATCAGTCATCACTTAACTAATATACAGAAATTAGAAGTTAAACACTTGTCTCAAATAATAAAAACTAGCAATGCATACACACCTCTAAATATCTTTACTTTAAAACAAACATTATCTCGAACCTCCGCGAAAACTCTACATAATGACCATAAAAATGGGGATAGAAACAACAATAAAATAAATCAACACCCTTCAACTAAAACTTTATGTGGAATACGAAAAAAGTTTTGAAAACAGAAATTGTTACCGTCAAGCATAGTCAACTGTAGTGTTTGAGCCAGAAATACTTGGGCCATTACTCTTTACTGAATTACTCTAAAAAGGAAACGAACATTAAAGCTTTTAAATTATACATCATACGGTGCAGATGATAATGATTCGAACGAAAGTATGATGAACTCGACATAACTAGTTTTCAAACGTTTTGTCTCGTATTCATTTCGGCGCCTTGAAACTTAGAGGACCCCATCTTGTTTATGCAAATTTTTGGCGGATCATCAAAATAATTATGTATCGTTACACGGCCACATTCCGACAGGTGTTTTGAACCACGTGGAGATAAAAGAGAGAAAATGGTTTGGTCAATGCAGAATTTCTTTCGACAAATATAACCTCAAAATGCTGAACAACTGACTAAAAAGACATGCACATACATTTAACACTCTACAAGTGCACCACACAGTGAAAATGGTGTGGAAAACGCGGAAACTTGATGGACTTTTCTAAGCCTGTGTAAAATTAGGAACGGTCGCTGCCTAATACAGAAATAGTTCATTTCTTACGGAATATGTTGACATGTTCGTACTAGTTGCTAAGGAATAATGTCAGCCAAACAATGTACTGGCTTACCTGCAACAATAAATGAAGTCGTCTCCATACCACGCTCTTCCCAACTGTCTAGCCATTTTTGTCTTCTCCAAAATTCACCAGGTCAGGAAATCCGCATTTTCTCCTCAAAACATCACCAGAGCGGCACAAATCCACAGCACAAACTACCAGACATTCTGCTGCACACTTACTAAGACATTCTATCGACGTAAACGTCTGAAAGCACCCAGAAAGTTGTGAAAAAATCAGCCCAGAATATTCCCGTCGTACGAAATCGCCATTTTGAACGGACGATACCAAACTTGTTTTCACACAGGTGTGCAGAACGGCCGTGCATAATTACTGTGAAGTTGATAATCTAATTATGACGACCAATGACGACTCGTTTCGGTGCCAGGCACTTACATGTGTCGAAGAAGGACGATTAGATTATCGAATTACGAAGGATACTAACGTTGATGGCAATCTCGGTAAAAAGAAATGGGTAAAAACGCAGCTACAGGGCACCTTTAAATTAGTATTTCTTCTCATCACATATGAACGTTTTCAAGAATAAGCTGTTATGTGGCCACAGTATGAAAAATAACACTCTTGCCCAATTTTCCTATTCATCTATTTTCACGGTTTATTCCGTGGTAGAATAAACACCTTCCACACATAGGCAAACCTGACCTTGGTGCTGAACACCTTCCCCACACAGGCAAACCTGTCCTTGGTGCTGAACGCCTTCCCCACACAGGCAAACCTGCCCTTGGTGCTGAACACCTCCCACACACAGGTAAACCTGTCCTTGGTGCTGAACACCTTCCACACACAGGCAAACCTGCCCTTGGTGCTGAACACCTCCCACACACAGGTAAACCTGTCCTTGGTGCTGAACACCTTCCACACAGAGGCAAACCTGTCCTTGGTGCTGAACGCCTTCCCCACACAGGCAAACCTGCCCTTGGTGCTGAACACCTCCCACACACAGGTAAACCTGTCCTTGGTGCTGAACACCTTCCACACAGAGGCAAACCTGTCCTTGGTGCTGAACACCATCCACCCAAAGCAAACCTGTCCTTGGTGCTGAATACCTCCCACACAGGCAAACCTGTCCTTGGTGCTGAACACCTTCCACACAGAGGCAAACCTGTCCTTGGTGCTGAACACCATCCACCCAAAGCAAACCTGTCCTTGGTGCTGAACACCTCCCACACACAGGCAAACCTGCCCTTGGTGTAAAGAAGTATGGGGATTGGGGAGAAGGTTGACACAAATTCTGCCAAATAACAGAAAACATTATCACAAACACAGCCATATATGCTTGATAAAAACCTTTAATATCACATAATTTGAGACCACATTTATCTACAAATATCTTAAACCCTAAGATTGCACAACTAAACCTGGCTAAACCTCAGCAATGTAGCAAATACATGTTGAAGTATCAATAATATAAATCTATTTGCACAAATTCATCATTTTTTATTCATTCTATCCTCTTGGTACATTCTAGTTGTAAGTAGAAATGGAATTGAAATATTCAAATAATCTGAAATACATAAATATTTCTGAGCACAATAACCACAGAGATAGAAGTCTAAGGCACTCTGGGAGTTGTAACAACCCTTCTAGAGCCAGCTCTCAGTTGTAGGCACACCCGGTCCAACATTGAAAAACCATACATGTACATGTGTACCACAGGGTACTGAAGTATTTAATGGCAACTTCTTAATCCATATTTGACGCAGATTACTTATTATTGGCCCCAACATTGTCAGATAATGTATATCCTTACATACAGTCTGATTTGCATTCAGAACAGAATATCCACGTCACAAAGGAGACACATTTCAAGGAAAAATACTGCTGACATAATACTGCAAGGAAAACCCCCTAGACATGGCAAGACAACTGCACAAAGTCAGCAAATATTGAAATCTAACATGTAGGTACTGTAGCATCCCTTTTTTTCAACAGTGAGGTTCACTGGAAGAACAAAGACATAATAATACATATTTCATGATATTACGCATTTCTAACACATTTACAAAACAATAATTAATGTAACTTCATTGTAATTTGTAAGCCCATGATGGACAGGAAGGATGAAGTTGCCTGACTACAACCTTCTCTTGGAGGTGGGCAGACGAGACTGCGTGCCGGTGGGGGTGCCGCGGGGGGTGCGCCCATTCCGCCCCGGGGACTGGAAGTACGGTGAGGTGGGGTCCTGCGGTGGGGAGAAAACAATCATTCAATGAAGTATTTTATGTTGTGCTTCACACTGTCCAGGAATGTTTTGTGACATCAAGGAACAGGAGAAACTAAATCATAACAAACTCCATCTCTTGTGTCATGCTTACTAATTTATTTATTTATTTCTGCTTTCTTTAAACAGGGTAGCTTTTCAGGAATGCCCTAAAAGTTTAACAACAAGTGACACCTGAAAACAATGAAATCAACACATTAACAATACATAACGTTACAAAATAACCAAGCGTCAAAACAAAATCATCTACTAATCCACAGTCAAGACTCTCCCCAGAAATTTAGTGCATGATGGTGCTATAGAATCAAGAATGTGCAAGGCAAATGATACTCCATGCTTTAGACTTTAGAGTGCCGTGTGGGGGAAACAGATAAACAGTTGTATCTCTCCTTTGAAGGAAACAGTGTAACAAAGAAACCTGCAGGTGTTCTGTTCCACCTGTCCCTCACCTGTTCCAGCTGTCCCAGCCGCTCCTTCAGCTGTGCCATCTCGGCGGTCTCAGTCTTCTGGGTGGCCTGTCCCAACTCTACGGTTCTCACTCGTTGGGCGAAGTTCAGGCTTGCAAGTGTCTCTGCGACATTCTTCTCCACCGGTGCCACCTGGACAACCATCAAAGTCTTACTGTCCCCACCTGTGTATGATAAAGACAAACAAACTTGACTGTGATGTTCACACACACTTTCATTTTGAATACAATGCAAAAATACCAAAACATGATGTTAACATGAACATTTTGAATGCAGTGCAAAAGTACGAAAACATCCAGTCTTACTAAAGCAGGGCTCAAAACTAAAGGTGGTCCAATGGCCACTGACCACTGAAATTTAGGCTGGGACAACTTCTTTTGTTTATCAGGAACACATCTTGGCTTTTGGATCCGGAAAAGTTCCCCTGAATTTCCTATTTACTCTGCAATTATACTAATTTATAGTGTGCCTGGGAGTGAACATAAGCAAAATAAAGTTGACTTCAAGTTGAAGTCATACATTCTTCCTGAAAAACAGGTTGGGACAGTTCATTCTCAATTTGGGACAATTGAAATTTATTTTTGGGACAGTTCTGGGAAAATAGGAAGAGAAGTTAATTTAAAGGCCTGTGAAGAGCTAGATTTCCTTACAACACAGCAAGGATAGGGGTCTGCCCAAATCCCAAGTACCAACCTAGTGACTCCTGCAGCAGGTAGGTGAGTTTGGAGTTCCTGTAGGGAACGTGTGGCTGTTTACTGCGGAGAGAATGTATAACGTCTCCCAGGGCAGACAGCGACCTGTTGATGTTCTGTGCCTCCTTAAGCCTGTCCCCCGCGGCCTGGGACTTGTGCACACGCTCCGAACCCGCAAGATCTACCAAGTTCAGCTTACCTGCAAAATAAAGAAGTAATATCAACATACGTTTCAGGGGTTTTTCTAGAAACATTTAGCAAGAGGGAGCACATCGCAAGCAAAGGGAGGGAGCAAAGTGACGGGGGATTTTTTAATGAGAGGAACACAGTTTGTAATGCTAGAAATTCTAGTAGAATGCATTGTTGTATTGTTTTTTACATCATTACTGGAAAACAATCATTTTGAAAAAGACTAAATGGTGTGTAAGTAGCCACTTAGGGTTCAATCTGAAAATTTATATGAAGGAGCTAGCTGGATGCATGAGGGAGCAGCGCCCTTATTCCCCTGTTTAGAAAAAACACTGCGTTTCATCAAAATTTACATGTAAGAAATGCGGCAGATCTAGGTCCTATATTTTGTCATAGTTGGCTCAACTACACCGTACCCTTTGTTTATCAGTGTTTTCGACTTACTGACATGCTCAATGACTCCAACGTTAACAGCTAAATCTTGATGCATATTGTGTGCAAGTCACCAATAGCATGGCATGAAAAATAATGTACAATGTACAAAAGTATATGAGAAAATCTCTGTACCGATGATCTTTGCTCCGGTGGTGATGTTTGTTCCTTCCACCGTTACGATCAGCAGGGCGTGTGATCGGGAGCTGTGTTCGTTCATGTTGGTACAGGCGGTGGCCCTGTTGTTGATGGCCACCTGGAACACTTCGTTCACGTCGGCTAGGGTCACCACCTGCGTGTAGGTGAGCCCGGGGACGTGCAGACCTCCCTCATTGTGCAGTTTGATGTCCAGCTTTTCCGTGGGGTCATTCCCCAGGAGGTCCCTAGAAATCAGAGGGTGAAGGATTAAATTTGGCAGGTTCTGACATGGTGAAATGGTCATTGTGAAAAGAAGTTTCCTTTCTATATATTTAAACGAGTGATTTAAACCCATAAATTACAGAAAAAGTGGGATCCTTTGTCTTCCTCAAGTCAAAGAAGTCAAACCCAGTAGTTTTTACTAGTAGTTTCTTAGTAGTTATCAGTAGTTCTATGTGTACTAATTGTCTGTTTATATACCATATATTTCTTCTGTTCCTGCAATTAGCCATCGGGCATGAATTTGCAATAATACAATTGTATTAAAGTTGATTTTATATTTACAGTTATATATGACTTTAATGATAACATTTTCAAAATCTTAAATTTGTTTTCAAGTACAGAGAGACAAGTCACACAGCTGTTACAACAACTGCAACCCACATACCTGACCATCTCGTTGTAGATTTCGATCACATTGACAGTTATGGCGTAGCTCCAATCCTTACTGCCCTCCTCAACGATTCTGAACAGTTCTGCCAGGGCGCGCTGGTTGATTCCACGATTGGAGGGTGGACCCTGTAATTAACAGTATTGTTTGTTTTAGCATGAAAGTTCATCTGTGTTGATACAAGTCATTATGGAATAAAGACTATGCTTTAACTTCCAACACTTGACTACAGAAATGGGACTTACCCCAAGAAGTATTGTTTGTTTTTGTGTGTTGTTCACTGAACATGACAAGCTACATGAAACCAGGTTGACATTTTGATATCAGTGTGGGATAACACAAAGTATGTTGGTGGGATAAAACTAAACCATTTGGAGAAGAACTGTGACAGGTGAGGTTAAATCTGGGATAGTCTAAATTGACATTTTTGTATAAGCATGGGATAGAGCCCAATGAATCATTTTCCAACCACAGTTCTCCTTTGTGGCTCTCACTTGGCAAATTGTCTTGTCACAAATCTCAAGCTCTCTGTTCTGCCCCTTCCCCATCTTACCTCCATAGTGTAGGTCTTGCCCGATCCTGTTTGCCCATAGGCAAATATGCAGATGTTATAACCGTCCAAGCAAGACACCACCAGGGAACGCACTTCCTCAAACACCTGGGTAAAGAGAAGGAACCAGATATCATTTAATGCATGTACTACAAATGTTGGCAAAGTCATTCCGTTTATTAACTACCTCCTCATAAGAAAGAACAACTGTTTGATTGTAGCTGACTTTGAACCAATATGCTTGTGAGGGTTTATTTTTGACCTTGACACTGTTCTTTGCTGGATCTCCTTCTAATAATTTTCACCTTGTGATTTAATTTTGCCCTTGTCCTTACCTCCTCCTGAGTTGACTCCTGGGTGAAGACTCGGTCCAACTCAAAGGTCTGCCACCGCCCCTTGTGCAGACAGTTCACTATACCGTCATCCTCCTGGTCAAAGGTCACGACCTGTCGGGCTGACTGCCCCTCCCCGTCCTCCTGAATCACAGGCCGGACACGACACAGCACACGGATGTTTCCTGGGGAAGGAGTGGGAGGTCAGGAACACTGGTTCATTGCTAGTCTTTATCTGTATCTGTATAAAAAGTTAAAACTTTCGATCCGACACAAAAATGTTGTGAGTTGGTTCAGTCTACTGAGGAAGACCAGAGTGACTGGTCGAAAGCTCTAGGTGAGAGAATTTCTTTGTGTTGGATCAAAAGTTTTAACTCTAAACATGTAACTACCAACACAGATGAACTTTCATGACTGTGTATCTGTATCTGTATACCCGGTATAACCGCCCTTCGGCGCAACACACCATGCCAGCATTGCAGGAACGTGGCACAGCAGCATCTGGCTACATTACACAGAACGACTTCTTACACCTAATCCTTGAACATCTAACTCTAATGAACATTTAACTCTTAAGTCAAAGCCTTCAATATAGAAAACCCCCAGACACTGCAACTTTATAGTGCTCATTTCTCTCCCACAGAAGGTTCCTCACCTTTCAGCTCTACGAGTTCATTGTGGTACTTTTTCCTCAGCTTCATCTCGTGTCTGTATTTCCTGACTAGATCCTGGTTGGTCTGTGAGATGTCAGCAATGGACTTACAGATCTGTGGGGAAAATAGAAAAAAAATACATGAACACAGTAGGTCAGATGGCTGACATATTGCAATGCAATTCCATGTAAAACTGTTTCCATTATGTAAAGCCACACCGATTTAATTTTATGGATGACATCCGCGCATTGAGTTTCGCCTGTTCTAAAAAAAAAAAAAAGATCACGTCCTCCAGGGCTCTGGCCTAGCTCTAGGCTTGGGTAGTCCATAGTTAGCGACAATACGGAGCCAGACACCCAGGCTACAGAAGCTCCACGACTCAAGAACTCAGTATATAGGTACAGTGCTGATTCATAAATTCTGCAAATATGTCATATACGTGGCTATGTACTGCCGCAAATTCACAATACCAGCTTTGTGTTCCTGTGGTTTAGTAGCATTTTTTATTTTTGGCCGAATTTTTTTTATTCACTCGCACGCACTAGTTTGGGGTTCTTCAGAGGATGTCATCCATAAAATTAAGTCGGTGTGGCCTAATTCCCATCCTGTGTTTCTATTGAAGTTTCATTTTTACTGGTTGCTCTGAGAGCATTTAGCCCACAAATTCCAGGACAGTTCTACTATAAGGCCATGAGGAGTTTGTGTTCCACAGACAGTGTATACCCACCTCTCTCTGCACCTGTCTGACAGAGGCCTGAAGCTTCATAGGGAACATGTGTGCCTCCTTCTTCAGCGCTGCATAGTCCTTCAGCAGCTCACCCACCAGGGGTCGCACCTGGCACAGGGACTGCTGCATGGAGGCTACCTGGCCTGTCAGACTCTGTACAAAAGGGAATTAAAGCTACGTTTTAAGAAAAGCTGTGTTTTAAGAGAACTTTAGGGAGACACACGCACATTAAATGTCCAAGATTTGCATTTGGGAGCCTACTGCCTTTGAAATAATTTATGTTGGGGTCGTGTGGCGTAACGGCAGAGTGCTCGACTCGGAACCAAGAGTTCCCGGGTTCAAGTCCTGACATGCCACTGATCTTGTGCCCTTGGGAAAGGCACTTCACACGACTTTCCTCACTTCGCTCAGGTGAAAATGAGTACTGTATTGTGCCCTGTGTTGGTGGCGGCATTGATATAAGTTAAAAAAACTTGAGTGTGTCCCAAATCATGTCTTGTGATTACATATTGGAATGTAAAAAAATATAATAATTTATGTACCAAGAATCAATATGTAACCTTATGGCATGACCTCTGAACACTGACCTTTGTCCTGACCTCTGCCTCCTTCTTGGCCTGCTGTACAGCACTCTGATTGGCCCGTCGGAGCTGGCTGACCTCTTCTGTCAACTCTGACCTCACCACCTCCATCTCGTCCTCATAGGAGTTCAGCTACGGAAGAAAAAAAACAGCGTTTTATTTCACAAGTACGCTGCAGGTTACACCCCGGTGCACCAAAAGAGTGCAGATTTTCTGGGCACTGGAATCAATTATTTAACAAGTGTTTAATTATTTAACAATGCCTGATATGAAGTAAAAATCAGGGAAACAAACCTTATCCATGGCAACCTTCTCAGCCTCCTTAGCGCTATCAAGCTGCACCTGGAGACTGCTGTTCTGCCTCTTGTGCGTGTCCAGCTGTGCCTGCAGCTGCCGCACCTGTTTGTTCACCTGCTCCAGGTGCTGCTTGCTGTGTTGCGACTCCACTTCCACAGTCTGCTTCACGACCTGGTTGGGGAGAGTTAATAGTCTGTGTAGCACAATCTCTCAACACCTGGCAGCATTCAGCAGTTCATTTTTATCATGGCATTTTTCAATGTGTACTACTTATCAGGTAACATTGATCTCTCAGAATGACATCCACAACTTTGGAGGGACAATATTTCCAAGCAAAACTAAAAAAAGACCAAAACAGAAGAAATTCAAGAACAGAAACACACATGAAATGTTTTCATATGGAGGGGGGAAACCCAATGAACTGCTATGGGTCCTACCTGTGGAGGTTGGGACTTTAGCTTATTGATCTCCAGTGTTTTCTCCCGAAGTTGGCGCTGAAGGGTCTGGATCTCGCGGTCCTTCCCGCTCTGCTCACGGTCCTGCGTCTCCGCCATCTTCTTGGCCTGGATGGCCAGCTCCGTCTCCAGACGGAGAATCTTGTTCTGGAGCTTGTCGTTGACTGTTTCAAGTTTCTGTAGGAAAATAACAGATAGAAGAGTTGGTGGGTCACACGTGGTCATGTTTGGTTTTTGATAATCTCCAAGCATATATTTCGGTGGCCGCAAAAGACAGTATCAAATTGGCCAGGCAGTATCCATTGGCCATACTGTATCCATTTGCCATGCCAAATGGGTGGCAAATGGATACAGTTTGGCCAATGGATACTACCTGGCCAATTTGATACTGTCTTTTGCGGCCACCTAAACATCTGCTTGGATATTAGTTTTTGAGACAAGAAATTTGAGACAAGAAACATCTCCCACACCCCATACAAGATACCATAATGTAGGGAGAAGTATGTTCTAGACAAGGAATTTTGTAATCTCACTTTGTGATTTTAAAACAAGGGACTTTTGTTTAAGGCTTGGATTGAAGTTTTTGCTACTGGCTGCTTACAGTGAGCTCACTCCTGTCCACTTTGCTGGGGGATTTCTCCTCCAGACTCAGGTTGTGGACTCGAGACCTCAGCTCGTTCACCTCACGCTGAAGCCTCTCGTTCTCAATCTCCAACTTCTGGACCTGTTTCTCATGGTCTGTGGCACCCTGGAACAGCAATAGCAATAGAAATTAACGAACTGAATTACAGGCATGTGTCGAATGATTGATTTCAATTTCTGCATAGGTTGTGTGACTGAGGGTCGGAGTACTTCCCTAAGATTCCGGGATTGTATTGTGTTGGAGCAAACGTTTATATTATCATCATGCCAAGTAGGGTTGTTTCCACTGATGAATTGAAAGGTACAAGACACATGCAGTTAGAAAGACAGCAGTCTTGTGACAAGAAAAGGTTGTCAGAGATCAAGACCAGTTCTGTCAGAGAATCACTAAGAATCATGTTACAAAAATCATACAAGGTATGTGACTTGTTTAGAGTTAAACTTTAGATCCAACACAAAAAGTTCTCTCACCTAGAGCTTTTGACCAGTCACTCTGGTCTTCCTCTGTCAGTAGACTGACCCAGTGAGGCTTGTCACGTGGCTTCTTTGAAGTGTGACGTCATCACTGTGACAAGCCTCACTGGGTCAGTCTACTGAGGAAAACCAGAGTGACTGGTCAAAAGCCCTAGGTGAGAGAATTTTTTGTGTTGGATAAAAGTTTTAACTTTACACATGTAACTACCAACACAGATGAACTTTCATGATAACGTTTGTGACTGCACCTTGAGGAGACTATGTCAATTCTCACCTGTTCACTCCTCATTCTGATTAAATCGTTCTGGGCCTGCTGTCGTTTCCTCTCCTGGTCCTGCAGTTTCTCCTGCAGGAACTTCTGCCCCTCTACAGCATCCAACTGCAGCAACAAATAATGCTCCTGTTAAGAAAATTTTTCTCCCGGCCATACTTTTTCTTATTCTCTTATGTAAAATACACAGAAAAGCATGGCAATTGGCAATACTACAGGACATCTCTGACTAGCCCTAAACCTTACCTTAGCCTGCTCCAGGTTGAGCTGTGTTGTCAGTAACTGCTCCTGTAGACTGCCTCTCTCCACCTGTAGCTTGTTGATCTGTTCCACCAGCTTCTGGATCCCCGAGGACGGCTTCTTAGTGCGTGTAACATTCTGACCTGGAAGTGCATAAAGTCACAAACTGTAAAGTCACCGACTTTTCACAGTCTGCACCACAGGCTTGTTGTATTTGACGAAGTAAAAATCTTGTTTTTGTTCTGTTTCTTCTTCTTCCCTTCCAAACACAAAAGGTCAATGACCAGAACTATATGTCTGCCACCATGGTAACTGGTGTTGGGTTACATCATGTTGCAATTTTATAGCAGGAAGGATTTAGACTCCTGTCACCATATATATGAATGTGTCTGAGTAAAAATTAACAGAGCACTCAGACCATATGCGAACGTAAACATTATGCATTTGCTTTGCAAATGTCACCTTTCTAGTTTGCTTTGATTTTGCATTATTTGCAAGTTGCGACCATGGAGCATAATTTTGAACCACGATCAACCAACAAAATCCAACCTCTTTTTTCTGCCTCCATCTCAAAGATGCGTGTCTCCTGCTCATCAATGACGTCTTGCAGGTTATTGATGAGGTTCTGCTTCTCCTGCAGGTTGTGGTCGTGCGTCTTCCGCATGATCTTAATCTGCTGCTTCTTGTTCTCCTCCTCCTTCCCCAGACGGGACTTGTACTGCTTGTTCTTGTCTTGTAAGGACTGCAGGGAGAAGAGAAACATGTCTTCTTAGAGCTACAACTATCAAGAAACAGTCATGCCTTCAAGTATCTTGATATTTCTTCTAGAGTTATCAAGAAAGAATTGAGGTGTTCAAAAACTCATATTTCCCAAGAACTATTGTAGACTGGAACTCGTTGCCACCAAGCACAGTTGGGGCATCATCACTAGAAAGCTTTAAACAACTCCTGCAATTAAATGTGCAAAGATTGAGTGTAACAAGTCGTTCGGTGTGATATAGCTAGCTGCCGCTGCGCCGTGTGCCTGCAAAGCTAGTGTGTTCACCGCATGGCAGTTATACCAGCTATAGTGATACAGATACAGAGGAGAATCCTTACTTACTTTCAGCATTTTCATTGAGACAAGGGCCTAAAGACTAAGAAAGATGAAAAGTGGCATTCTCACCTTGACTTTAAAGAGCAGGTCATCCCTCTGTTGATTCCGCTCGGTGAGTTCCCTCTGTAGTGCCTGGTACTCCACCAGTGTACAGCTGCCGCCATCCCCCACCAACACCCCCTCCTCATCACTCGACAGGTGCCCATCCTCGTCTGACAGAGCTACAATTTAAAAATTTAAAATCAAACAATCATTAGTAAAAACACACTGTGAAAGGCTGTAAAATGCAGATATTGTCTGTTATTGCCTTTGATTCACAACCAGATATAACGAACAGTTTTTATGGCTTTCTTTTGGATGCTATTTGCTCAAATTGTTCATCTTTGTCCTGACATTTCAATTAATAAATGTAATTCAGCAGGAAGACATATTGGTGAAAAGAGAGGAAAATGCCAATCTGACTATATCATCGTCAACACCCCCCACCCACCCATACTCCTCCATAATATGTTTTATCTTTCCCTTACTTCTAATTACCAAGTTGAACAAACTAAGTCAGTAAAAACTCGGACGGGCCCCACCGTCCAGTCCCAGCTCCTGTTTCCACATCTCCTGTCGGGATGGCGTTGCCCTTTGACCCATGTTCCGAGGGCTGAAGGTCATGGGGGTCTTGAAGACCGGCTCTTGTCGCTGAAAGGGAAAACAAAACAAGTCAAGTTCAACTCCGGATCCACGGGTTTGGGAAAGGACTTTCAACCAGAGCACTCACAACCAGGAAAGAATTACAGGCATTTTCAAAACATCGTAATTTTTTACCAAATTTACGAAAGATGCTGACATTTTGGGACTTCAGGATGCATTAGAATAAACATTCAACAATTGTTTATGTAACTGACTGGTATGAAATAAGTGTGCTAAAGGCCTATTGTCAAAAAATACAAAAAAACATCACACACAACCCCAGAGTCCAAAAGACAACCAGATCAGAGTCTATCAGACAATGCTTCCATTTTCACTCAACAAAGAAGAGAATTTGGCATCAATACATTAACGTGACACACTGTCCATACTGCCTGATACAACTGTGAACATTTGTACCTGCTTTGGTGGTGGTTTCTTGGCCATTTTACCCTGCTGATCACTAACAGACGTTGAAAACAACCACGACTACCTGTGCCCAGTGCAAATCCCACTTTAGTTTGCTACAATAGCAAATTTGCAGTAGCCGGGGCACGGCCGTCACTGTGCAAACATTCAGGACGGCTGACCTGCTGCATGCTATTTCTGCCTGTCACAGGTCAGGTTCCCTCTTGTGTTATCTCACAGCATTTACTCTTACCCTACACCTACCTTTGACATGAGGTAACTCACAAAACAGTGGTTTCAAACATCACAGAGGCGTCCAACAACAACATACCTGACGGCAGTTTTAACCAGGTCTGCCATATTTTGGATCGTACTGTAAAGCCTACTAAAGGTTGTAGATTTCTCAGGATAAATTATTCAACTGTCTGATGTGGCAGTGGCACAGTGAAACATTTTATTCCCTTATGAATTTCTTGAGAATCTTTCTTAACAACCATTTGTGTTCTAAGGATGATGCCATCTACAAAACTAACTTTGCACGGCCTACAAGTAAGTGGCATAAGTGGTTACTTACCAGGAAGGACATGTCCGGTCTAGGTGCAGTTACAGTCTGGTGTATAAATACTTCAGGTGACTCACAAGCTGGTGTCTACTCTCTCTCACAGCTCACACAAGTCACCGACACACATGCAGCTCCTGTCTTCTGGAATGAAAAAAAAATGTCTTTAAAACATTGTACCAACACATAAAAAAACTGGGTGTTGTACAGGATGGATGAAGTCAGCTGACAGGAATGTTCATGTTTGTTCTGTCATTCCTACCCACACTTCACCTTTTCTACAAGGTGACTCACTCCAGCATGGTTGGATAACACTTTTAACAGTACGGGTACTGCACAACTTACCTTATTTGTCAGTCTTCAATAGACAAATGAGATAACTTAGAACAACTGCCAAATAAATAACGTTCTTCAAACTTTTGAAATGACAAACTACTTGTAACTTAGTGATGAGTATTTTTTTACTCAAGTGTAAGTTGTAACTTACTAACTACTGTATAAATCTAATTGGTAAAGCATCAAACCAATCGCTGCCGGTTTGCATTTCATGAAATATGTAAATAAATGTTGTACAAACAAAGCAAATAGACCGGCAAAGCTAACAAAACCCCACATTCCATGCATACAATTGCCGCAGCCTGTTTGATTGTACTTTGACCCCTCCTGAGATCTCTAACAAAGGGTCAGCTGGGTAACAAAATCTGTAATGCTCATATCACTTTCAGCATCAACCTTGCTTATATTTTTTAAAGGGACCTCAAAACTGGAGGTAAAAATAACTGTATATAGCATAATTCAGGATAATAACTGATGTTTAAGTTGGGGTTTAATATTTCTTAATATATGTGGCAACAAAATATGATTTGATTTTTATCTGGCTCTAGAAAATTATCATGTAAATCATAGGTTCTGTATGTCGAAAGGAGTACTGAACAAACATGTTACAAAATATCTATCCCTGTCAACTATCCCTAAATTATTCTACATATTTATACATACACACATTAACAGTGTCCCAAAACGCATGATTTTTTTTTTACCTCCATGCCCAAAGTAAACATGTTACATGTAACGTTACATAAACCAAAAACTAGGACCTAAACACTAAGCCCATTAGGCCAAGTACTGAAGGCAAGGAACTTGGAAGACAAACTCCTCTGCTATTTCCATGTGGCTCTTGTCTTACAAAAGAACTACAATTCGTTACAGGGGCTTTGGCCAAACTCTATGTTACTCTTTACGTGGCCATGAATCTCGTGGAAACTACCAAACATGGACATAAAAGCATAGCGAAGCCGAGAACATGGCGACCAGAAGTGCTTTTGTGTGGGAGAAGGACTGTTTACAGAAGTACTCAGCTCAGTTCCCACATTACTTACCACGGCCCCCCTCCCCACTAAACTTTCGTGAAAAAGAGCGTATTTACTTCTTTGTCAACTTAGCCGTTTGATTCCAAACAATGTAGACCAAATGAGAATTTCTATAGAACTTTAAACCGTGGGCAAGTCCTAACACGAAGCGCGTCGCCAGATTATAAAATATTTTGCTTTTGTTGCTATTTTTTGCAAACCAAACTACGAGTTAAGACGCCAAATACACCACAAAGCGCCCACTACAAGGACTAAATTTTACCAGACCTTTCACTGAACATTCAAACTTAGTTTACAAAGTTCAAATTTACCTGGTAAGTCTGTATAATTTGGCGGTCAGGCACAGACAAGTAGCGAGAGAGCGATACCGAGAGAGCAACCCGGACAGACGCGACGCTGGATTCAAATTCAAATTTTGTGCTCTGCTTGACATGACGTCACTGATCATGTGGTCCAAAGTTCAACCTGTTCCCAAGAGTCACTGCGACAGGGCAAACTGTGGCATGTTGTGTGGAAAAGTTCTAGACAGGACGAGTCTTTTTCTGGTTCCCGTTATTTTTGCCATCATGGAAAGGAAAGGAAAATCCGTTTTTACTGTTTGTCTACGCATTCCAATGCAAGGGTACCGAAGTAACGGGTTCCGCACTGGGCGCATAGTGGAACTGGGGCCCTGTGCGGAAGTAACGTACTTTGCATGAATTCTGTTGCTAAACCTCTTTATTCCAGTACTAAAGCTCCGTCAGACTAAGTAAAACCAGAGGAAAGCACATCTTGAAGCGCCTCCTACCAACTCTACACGTTTTGCACTTACAGTATCTGTTGGTGGTCTACGAATGGGTAGCCTGGATGCCAGACCCAAAGCACACTGGACACAAAATATCTCAAAATATCTCACTGAGATATTTGTGTCCAGTGTGCTATGGGTCTGGAACCCAGGCTAACGAATGGGAGGGTAAAAAGTTTCTTCCGTGCTTATAGACGTTGAAATATGGTAACGTAAACAAGGTGTAGCTTTCACCAAGCTTACACTTGAGAAGTGTTATAACCCAAAGAGAGATCGTTTTAAGTAGACAGGGTGCCATCCTTGAGTTTTCACACTTCGCTTTGGGTCGCAAGAGTTCCAGGATGGTATCCAGGAAGCCCTCTTCTTATACACTTCTCAAGTTTGAGTGGTTGATCCCCCCCTCAAAAAAAAAGAAAAAAGAATGGGTCTAGTAGTATGCAGGCAATAAACTTGCTTATTCAAAAGTTAAAGCGTTTATGGCCATACTCGATCAATTTACCGGGTATGGAAACTAAAAACTTCCACAAGATATAAAATAGAAATAGGCTGTGCCAGAAAGTTATGGATCAAATAGATACATACCAATTACCATACTAGTAGCAGTATACTCTAAAAAAAAGAACAGACCACAGTTTCTTCTCAAGGTTTAATTTCTTTCTCTGATCTCTCTCTCTCTTCCTATCTAGCTTGCCCTATGATACATGCAACAATTGCAGCATTTGCTGTCACGTGTATCGACAGCACACTTTACCTACAGACATCCTGAGCACCGCTATGAGAGTGGTACAGTCCAACATTTTGCATACGTCATGAACCTAACTAAATAGCAGGATCTCAGAGATCAACACAACTAAGATAAAAAATTTAAAAAATGTGCCGACAGTAGCCTTAAAAACCTCCCTACTTGAGAGTATTGCAGGCCTAACACAAGTATCTTTTCCCAATGATTTTGGACCAGTACATATTTATCATGGGGTGAAAAGGGTAAATGACAGAACAGGGGCTTAATACATTTTACTAGTGTTCTATTGTACTCTGTTGTACAAAGAATGCACATGCATCCTTCTCATGTTTACAGCTAGTACTAGGAGAGAAGCACTTTGTCTTCCCTCACATACAAATGAACTCTTCAGAGAATTGATTTTTTTTTCAGTACACATATTTTGCTATGGTACAGACCAGCATAAAATATACTCTTTAAAAATAATACAACTCTACACATAAAAGCAGCAATTCTCTGCTTTCCTCATTGGCAATTACACAAAACTTGGCAGCCATACTGCCTCAACATCAACATTTGACAGAAAGGACAAAAATGTTACAGGAGTTACAATGAGTGAAAGGCACTAGGCTGACTAGGCAGTTTAGTAAATACATATCTAACTACTGCATGAAATAATGCCTAAGTGAGCATGTTAACATGGATATGGGTATAAATGTAGCTCCCCAGTGCTTAAATTAAAGCTTTGACTAAACAACTTGCCTGTCTTTAAAAAAAACTTGCTCACTAACAGCATACCCTGTATAGATTACAATGCAACCATTTTTGCAGCACCTGCAGCTTTAACCAATCCTATATAACAATAAAGCAGTGCAAAACATCAAGCAATTTGGTTTGCACAATATTTTTCTGACATTCCGCTAGCTAGCAATCCAAATCTTAAAGAGACCAGTACAGTATCATATCTAGCACGTACTGACAGCTATATGGCATGATTTTTCGGGCATGGCAAAAATGCAGCGTTTACGTTATGTGCAGATTTGGTCCACAACAGCCCTCCTGTATCTGTTCGCAAGGTGGGCCTAAGTTTATGTAGAGCTGTACCCAAATTAAACACTCAATAAATTTACCCATTTTGCTGTAAACTAGCTGTTCATCAACTTTTCTAACAAACTAACTAAAGTGGGGGGACTGGTTAATTTCTTGGTGTCGCCTGACCAGCATTCCAGGTAAAACTCCCGTCGCTGTAAGTGGCACTACACCAGCTCCGCCCCAGATGACACTTGGTAGGTACACAACAGTTTTGTGTACCACAATGTCCAGAACAACCTGCTGTTCCTATCTACCATCTACATCTCTCAACAACCACAGCACCAGAGTCTCTCTGCCTGTATGTCAACACCATCACACCTTTCTGCAACATTGCTGCAGCAAACCTTTTCTGTGTCGATTATCGGAGTACAGGCATAGCCTATGCCAGTGTGCCGCAATACACAGTATGCTACAGGAATCCTTTGTCAAGGTTTCAAAATCCTCTCTCACTGTTCTTGTTCATCCTCTGTTGTCCATGATGACCAGAACTCATGGCTGTGTTGTACCTGTTTACAACTACATTACACATGGCACAGGTTTTCCGGCAAGGCACAGGTAAAGGCACTTCTTGTCCACAGTCCACTCTCTCCTACACGAGGGACGGCTTCCCTACAAGGACCTACGAGCTGCCAGGTTGTGTTCTGTCGGGTTTCCCTCATAACTCGGTGACTTGTGGTCTTCTCTTCATCCTCTCCAGCCTGATGAGGTGGCAGTCGTGACACAACAGGTGACCCTCCAGCGGGTAACATCTCCTGCCCTCCTCATCACTGAACGGTAACGCACAGTCCTGCAGGGGAACAGTCACGTGTCAATCATAATGAAGCTAAGGCCTAGGAAAAAAAATGTTGTTTCCTGTTTCCCAGCCAACCCTAGAAAAAGCTGCCGACCCTAGCCTTTTATTGGGGGTGGACCTCTGCAAGGGACATAAATTTCTAGCTCAATGATCTGACACCTGAGTGACAAAAAAAAAAAACCGTTGTATAATTGGTTTTCCAACATTGACATTGAAAAGTTTTACTTTGTCAAATTGTATTGTATAGGTTGTACCACCAAAGTCTGATCTACTGACCCTAATTTTTTCAGGACTGAAACAGGAAACACATTTTTTTTCCTAGGGCTAACATCAAACAGTCCTGGGGGTAACATCAACAGTTTGTTATTCAAAGTATGACACTCAGCCCATTAGCAATTTTTTTCCAAAAATGTTCTTCCACATAACTGTAATGTATGAAGCACAGTTTACTCAAAGGACAGTTGAAACACTTACTTCACATCTGTAGCATTCTATATGATAATCTTTGTCCATGGACACCACTCGTATCGTTTCGTCCTTACCCTGGAGGAATAAAACACAAAAGTTGACTCACAAGAAATGAATAATATCCATTCTTTACCTTTCACAGCGGTTATGGCAATAATGCAGAGCGTACAAGAGTCTTCACAGCAAGACATTAACACGGGGCAGCAATAGGGTCCTTGACTTTTCTTTTGAAAAGTCCAGGACTCAATGACTGACATTTTTTGGGCTTAATCAATGTGTTAGTTTCTTGACCCCCTTCTCTTGTGCTTTAGCACCCAGTGTGTGTCACAGAGCACCAAAAGGACACCATATAGACTGTCGAATAGTAATCAACAGCCTAAAGTTATCTGCAGAACTAAGCACAGAGAAGGACACCAGCAAGCTTACACACTGGCACCTTTAACTTACAAGCCACTGGTTATCTTGCCTTTACTTAAACACATTTAGTAGCAGAGAGCTTGGCACAAAATCAAGTTGGAAAGAAGTTTGACAAAAGCATTGAGAGAGCTTTCTGTTTTTCCTTTAATTTAATTGTCACCTCAAGATTTTACGCTTATAAAGAAGGAGTCGCAAACAGCACGCCAGTTTTCCTTAACGCAGCGAGAAAGCCAAGAACTGAGGATAGAAATAAAGAGCTGACATCTACCGAGACGACAATCTCCTTCAAGTTGGGAGGCACTTCTGCGTCCTAAGGAAAAAAACAATGTAGTGTAACTGAGACATGGAACGTTTGATTGTTGACCGACTTTTGACTGTTACACAAATTCTAATGGATAGACTTTGACTGTCACAGATCTTATTTTATATCTATTTGCACAGCTTATTTAGTGTACATGCACACGGCTAGACAGCATTGAGGTCATGTTTAAGACTGCTCTAATATGACCAAATGGCAAAGCACTAAGAAGATTGTCACTAGATTTTTGCCAGGTAGTCTTAATCGAAGACAAGATTAAAAGAATCAAGATAGCTTGGTAAGCAACTAAGAAATCCTGTGGTTTGTTGTGTCAAGGCGTGCTATAATTTGGCTGCAGTAAAGGAAAATCTGAACAAATTTGAAAAACGGTGGTCTATCTAAATAACGAAAGGCAATCTGATCTTGGTTGAAGAGTACTAACTAAAAAAAAAGAACATTGAACATGAACATTTTTTTCCTCCCTCACAGATTTGATTGTATAACTGACCAGGAAAAGTGGCACAAGCTGCAAAGACTTGGTGGCCTATCCTTAATTCATGATTTGATGATTTCTATTTGTTCTGAATAGTTCGAAAAGTGCCTGTTAGGCAAAAATAAATTTCTGAAGGTTACATAAAGACATGACGACAAGTAAACATGCCATAACATATCAGTTTTGGGTATGTACAAGTCCCATTGGGTTTTGCCCAGTGTACACTTGTGCTCAACATTTTCAGTCCTGTCCTGTACATCCAACTTGATTCTGACCAGCATACACAGGATACACCAGTGTAGTATGAGCTCTATACCGTATTCAAGGTTTAAAATATTACACATATATATTACATAAATAGAAAAGTTAAGTGCAGTTGTAATGACAATTGTCATTTACCTTTACATTGTAGTGCCATATAGACACAATGGTTGCCTCTTTGAATTGTTGTAACAAGATTCGCAATGACTGAAAACACCTTTGCAGGTATGGTTGCATATAGTACAAGCTGATATTAGAACTACCTACTTGTACTGTTGAGATTCTACCTGAGTGCGTTAAGGTGCAGAGACAGCAACACTATGGGGTTGGGTTATACTCCCCTAGCCTAGCAGTGCCAGTTTTCAATTCCTATAGACATAAACTAGCCCTGACCACTCAGTCTTAAAGCCATCCAATGCAATATCAGGGTGGTAAAACTGGAAATATTCTGATGAAGGCAATCTGTATGATATTGACACATACTATCCCACATTAGCACATTTGAATTAGTATTTCACACTTTAGGTATTTAAAACTGGAAACAAGCCCAAAGATTGGCCCTTTATTTTCTGGGTGGTACCCTAAAAATCAATCCAGGTCTTTCCAGTAACTGTTTTTCGTCAGAATTTGGGGCAGTTTTGCTCTATGAATATCGATATACATTGGGACAGTGTTGTTTCAGCTTACCGGTAGTATGTCAATAAGTAACTGGAAACTACGTGACAAAGTGACTATTGACTTTGAAAAATCTGGTTTCCAAGCCCTAAAAACTGCAGTAGATGCCTTTAATCTAGCCCGTTTCAAACAATGACCAGTTTGGCTATAGGAACTGGAAGCTGGTTTCTATGGGGGAGGGGGTCTAGTGAGGGGCAGAGCAGAAGCCAAGTGGTGGAATACCTCTACCGGAGTAATGGGGAGACGACACCTCGCACACTTTGGCGCAAACTTCCTGAAAAAAAATAAACACAGAAAAAACATAAATGAATGTTGTTGTAACAAAGGTTATCAGACAGTTAAACAAGTCCTACTCCAATATGATGGTTTCGCTCACCAATAGTACTTTCCTTTAAAAACAGAAAATGGTACAGCAAATGATAATAAACTCAATAATAGTCAAGCTTAATTTCTTCAGATAAAATGTGTGTCTTACTTGTGATAGTCCTTGACACAGTATATCCTGTTGTCTGCATCGATTGTGAAGGGAACGCCGTCTAAACACTCATTACACACTGTACACCTGAAGCAGCCGGGGTGAAAGGACTTCCCCATTGCCTGCAATATCTGTTATAAAAGGCATGAACAGCAAAACAAAATTACACTTAGACAATGTCAATTCTATCACTTAACATGAAAGTTCATCTGGGTTGGTACAAGTGTTGAGAAGAAAGTTGAGTCTTCATTTCATAACTCTATGATTTGTTTAGGCTAAGGACGAAGTTAAATAAGAAATACAAAGGATGGACTGTTCTGTGGAATAGTCTACATATGGGTTTTCCAAATCTTAGGACAGTAATAAATTTTGGCAGCCCTTACAACAAGCACCTAACCCTCTTCCTGCTGCTTTAACCATAACCAACACAAATTGGGTGCCAAGTGGCTACCTCTGCAGGGAGAAGGTTAAATTGTAGCATTACCTTACTCTTTATCATACAGCTAAAGCAACAATAGGATTAAGCAAGAAAATCTCCTACATTCTTTTGAATGTGTATGTAACATTTTGAAGCATTGCAAGAGTGCAATCAAGCTTTGCTACAATTTGCTGGAATTGGGCCATACTGTAATGCCAATGCTTGTGTGTTCAGGTATGTCGGGAATTCCACAGGGGCTCGTCCAGTCTGAAGCCCCTTTGTTCAGCTGATGAAAGGGTAGCAATCACACCGACAGGCTGTCATTACCTGACCACAGGTATGTCATTACTGAGAGCTATCCAGCCACGGGAATCTCAACAATTGTAGACAAAAAACATACTGGAAACAGGGGAATTAGGTATAGCCTTTAGTGATCTTTTCTTTTGGTTACTGCATTGTTTTTAAGTGAATGTTGCAGCTTGTTTGGTTTTTCATTTCTGTTCCTTAAATTTAGGTGCTGGACATCTTGGTTTCATTTGCACTTGTGTTCTGATCATTTGATTTTTTCCTAACAATTTAAGTGATAACTTCATGCCAAAATATTTGTGTTGTACTAATTCACTTTCATATTTCAATTAAATTTTATTCTTTTTTTTTTTTTACAATTAATGTACTTGATTTTCATGACAAATGCATACAATGAAAAATATTTACTTTACTAGCATCAGTCAAATAAAATCAAAGAAGTCAAACCTGTCCCCCTGAAACTTTCATCCACCCCTCGACTACTCTGAATGGAACAGCCCTTACAAACAGTACACATAGACACAGGACGTACCATTTCCATGATGAGGTGCCCACATACTACACATTTCTCGGCTGTTTGCTGGAAACCGGAGTACTGTGGAAGTAAACAGTCAAGTCAATATAACTGTGGAACAGATGAACTACGTGTGCTTCACTTCTTCAGCAAATGTATCATTTGCAACAAGGTCTTTCTAGAAGTCTGGCCTATGATATTGTGAATCATTTAATTACTGCAAAAGTGCATTCTAATTATATAAATTATTGTGTAGGAAATCAGTTATACAGCCTTGGTAACATGGATTCATGCAACAAGTTTTAGAAAAAGGTCCTAAAGTGTATCTGTGTTTGTATTACTTCAATAGGCACTATCTTTTTATTTCCATCATCAAATGTTTCCCAGTCTCTCCCCTTCCTAGTCTGGTGCTAAGAAGGTTGTAGTTCCTTACCAAATAGTCTTCTTCACAGTACACCTTCCCATTGACATTGTAGAATGCCTTTCCACGTAACGTTCTCCCTAAAAACAACAGATAGACCATCAGTACATGATTTTCAACATAATAGCCAATGATCAATTAATAACACCTCATCAGCAAATAATTATATATGTATGGTCAACTGACAACAACTTCTTTATATCATATAAGGACTATTTTGAGCATACATGTCACACTTTCCAAAACCACTATGTTATGAGTCTCTTAAAATTCTGACTATACAGTCATAGCAAATGCTACATTAAACCAATCATGGATAAAGAATGATCCATGGTGTGGAACCATTGTCTCTGGAGACAGACATTTTGTAACAAGCAAATGTTATGAGTGTTCCTATACCCACATTTAGGTTCAGTTCCGGATTCCGGACCCATGGCATATACAAAATTGCATGTTGCCAACCTTGCAATGTTGTTTGGGCAAAACTTTGGCCACATAACAAGGAGGCCGACACTTGACGGTGCCAATGGCGATGTTTTCTTGATTTTGCAGCACAGATTTTGCAATCTATGGAGGGTTTTAGGTGGTTTGGAAAAAAAGAGGAATGTGACATGTTTTTTTTTTTTGTAATAAGGCCAGAATCGGTTCCTGACCTTTAAGTTTTTTTTACTTGAACCTAAACATTTTTACAAGTCTGGAACCAGTCCAGCGAGCCGGTACACAGCACAAGTTCAGTACCACAAAGAATCTTTCTTTTGACTAAGAGTAAGAAGATGTGAAACTGACCACATGAGCAGCAGGCGAAACACTGTGTGTGGTAGAGGTTTCCCATGGCCTGACACGCCTGTCCTGCACCGTTCACTGCCTTCCCACAGGCGTGGCACTCACCTGAAGTAAACAAACAAATAAACAAATACATAAACATTATGTCATCATTACCTTCGCCAAGAAGGTTATGTTTTCAGAGGCGTTCGTGTATGTGTGTGTGTGTGTGTGTGTGTGTCTGTAAACACGATAACTTGAGAAGGCTTAAATGGATTGACTTTATATTTGGTAGGTGGGTAGGTCTTGATGAGACCTCGAAATGATTAGATTTTGGGCCCCCTAGCGGCTTCTAATGGTACTGCAGCTGAACTTCCGGTTTTGATATCTCGTGATCTGGACAAGCTGGGGTGACGAAATTTTAATGGTAGGTAGGCCTTGTGCTCGGGAAGAAGTGACGCAAGTTTGGGCCCCCTAGCGGCTTGCTCAGGAACTACAGGGACATTTCTTTGAAATTATTCAAAAGAGGATAATTCAAGAACCGGTGGACGGATCTTCATGATTTTTGGTATGTAGGTAGCTTATGTGACGCTTGACATAATTATGTGACAATTATGCAAATCTGGATGTAATTTGCATAATTAATGAGGAAATTCTATAAATCAGCTGCATTACATTATAGGACTATTCAAGCTTGTGACATGTGAAATTGAGAATGAGAGAAACACAGGCAGATATTGATTATGTAAATTAACACTTAATTTGCATAATTATTGAGAAAATGTTATAATTCCATAATGGTTTCTGCCTGGAACTTTATACTTGGGGTATTTAAAAGTTTAGTGAAGCTGAACATCATTAAACATAACTTATTCAAATAAGGACCTCATTTGCATAATTTATGAGGAAATGATAGAATGGCTTTCTTTATTAAGATAAAACTGTCTTTTGATGGAGAATATGATCAACTGATATAATTTATGCAAATGAGGATGCTATTTGCATAATCAGGAGGAATCATGATCAGCTTTGTCAGTCATAAAGATTAACATCATTTGGCGAAGGTATGAGATCGTGGGACTCTAGTTACAATTCATACTCACTGATGCATCAACCCTAGAAGCTACAGATATATCTGTTATGTTAATTTAACATACAAAAATGAACGCTTTATATGGAGAATTTAAGTAATTCAGACTTACAAAGAAAATACACACACATATTTGTAGAATTGGACCTTAAAATTTTATCTGTATCTAAGACTATATCTTGAGTGTTTGCATAACGTTTATATAGCATCCTAAACTCACTCATAATTTAACTAACATCTGTACCTGTAACTTAACCTCACAATCCACAAATATATATTCACTATATAAATAACTTTATAACCAAGTTATAGTGACAACGATGTGCCACCTCACTCAAAATAGGGTCGGCAGTCTCACTTTGACCTTCTGATGTCACAGCTATGGTAACCAGACACCCCTGTACAGGTCCTAGTTGCCTAGCAACCATGAGAATGTGACATGTGAATTGACATTCTATGGGAGGCACCAACCCAACCCAAGGGGCAAAACAACATGACACACCAGTTCATACACGATACTCGTCCTGTCCTGTTTTAGTTTACAGAGAAGGATTTGGTAACGATAACATCCGTGCATCTCTTGCGAGAGTGTTCTGCGAACACAGGACTCTGTGTACTTTTCCCCGTCCCCTATATATGGGGCGCTGGTCCAAGAATAGAGTCGTTATGAGTTTGACATCTGTAACTGGCTCTTGTTTCAGAGTACTAACTGCCAGGTCGACTCTGCCCTTTCAGATGGATTCCACGCTCTTTCCGGGGGTCAGGAAAAATGGCAAGTATGCGGCGTCCAACATGTTATCAAAGCGGCCGTGTCCGAAGCTACATCTCCAAAAAGTGTTGCTATTCCTGAGAGCGGTAGACAGATTAAAAAAGAGGGATTCCCCCACTCCGTACGAGGTGGCTGAAAATTCCAGGTCATAAATCCTACCTATTTATGGCTGCTATCCACAGACATCTGACACATGGGTGACACGACCACACCGAGTCTATAATATATGCCAATAACATCCGACTGCTTTATGAATATATACTATTTAAAAACACATTTATAGATAAATTATACATTTATCAATATTTTTATAGCTTCCAAAGGATGACACTTGGGTCATCTCTCCATGCTGTGACAGGAAAAACTAAATCTAAAGGAACTCTGCCTACTCACCTTAAAAAAATTGAAATGCAACAAAAAGTACATGAATGATCAACGTAATCAGGCCTATACCTTATATAAGGCAGAGTTATAACGACAGCACATAATACACCAGTATTGTAAATTCTAAGATAATGCTTCATTTAAAGAGTGGTATGCTTATCATTTCTGGTTGTCCTTGGAAGCATAAAAAGACTCATAAATCTAGTTGCCATGGTGATATCAAGATGTCAAGGTTAATCTTTTGAACAGCCTTTCAACAGGAACAACATGTCTTCTATACACTTCCCTAATTACCAACCATTACACAGTACAAGAGTAATTCCAAACTTGTGACTGAAATGGCACTTTGACAATGTAAGCCATGACAAGAGTCCACACCCTTCCTGGCAATATTGTACAAGTCTAAGTATAATATTAGGTATTTCCACCAAAATGTGCGAAACCTTCTACACTTATAATTGCTATTCAATAAGATAAGGCTCAACTGGCTGCTGCTAAGATATTGGAAGTATTAATGTACATGTTGTGTCCAATATCAGCCAAACTTACTGAATTAACCCCTTGCAGCACTGGAATACTTTTGAAATGTTCACTGATTTCTCTTTTTACCCAGCTTCTAATCTTACAAAACTCTCCTGCTGAAGGAATGTCCTCACAGCTACTTGACATTGTTGTGTTTGCCAACAAAAAATACAGCTGCAGTCTTGAGCAAACCCCTTTCTACCAGTGTGAGCTGTAAAAGCAGTAGCAATGCGTGATGTTGACCTACTGGGAAACGTTGTGTAATCACCATAGGCCTGAAACACTGGGAATTACAACTGCATCAGTACAGGATTATCAAAAGGTCATCGTGTTTGAGGACGTGTCCTTTGAAAGAGCATGCCTTCTATACTCTTGTGCCATTGCTGCTTTCAAAACATACACAAACTTAGACGTGCGGGTCTCAGATCTAACCCCATTTGTCCTTGTTAGAGTGGGTTTACAGGGAAAGTCTCAGGAGATCTGGTTCTCCTGGGTTTGTGTGGAAAGTGCTGTACTGATAATGAAGCCCCAGGGACCATATTAACTCACATTTCCCCACCAGCTGCTAATGGGGGTGATTTACACTCCACGCCCCTGCAATATGCAATGAAGATCTGTCACAAATTCTTTCTTACTTCAAGCACCAACTTTCATCTCCATCATGATCTAAATCAAGTTTCAAAGTGAAACTCAAAGCTTGCTTCTTTCAATGACGCACAAAATAATATCTTTATTTCTCATAACATTCTGGATATTCCAAATGGTTAGAGGTTCCAAATATGGTGTATTTCCAGTTAGTGTATATGAACTGTAGGTGGTTGACTCTTGTGCAGATAGAGGGTACATCTGTGTATATATCACATAGCCTGTATTGTTTGATCATTGTGACAGACCATATTGAAGGTGCTAGTTGTCAGGAAGTTCTGCCATGTGCATGAGGTCACACACTGGAAATGTCTAGTTTGAGAGAGGAAGCTTGTCAGACATGTGCTCAGGTGTCTCACATCAGGTCAAAGATTAAACCACTACTACATGTTACTGATAAAAGTATGTGACTTATCCTGTGCCCTCCACTTAACCAGTCGCTTCTGCCAGAGGGAATACAGTTTAGACAGTTGGTGTATTGGTTTCTTAGTTTGTGAATAGACAATCCAAAGGTTGGGAGAATGTTTTTATCCTCAAATCCTCAATAAATTGGTTAACAGTTAAACCGTTCAAAAATATATGTAATCAAATGCAACCAATCAAATGCAATACAATGTATTTGGTTGGCCAAAATAAAATTAGGATGCAATGAAATAAGTGTGTGCAAGGACGTTATAATGTCCTTGGTGTGTGGAAGTTCTTTGCACAAACTTGTGTTGGAACAAAACATGTATCAAAAATTAGACATGCCAAAGTAGATTTCAGCTGACCAACCAATATGTGTGTGAAAAAAAATGTGTCATCCAAAACATTTGGAATTTCCTCTCAACCAAGGCTGACCTGTTTAAGGGGAATTTTGTTTGTTTAGACAAGAATAACAGTTTGTGCAGCCCATGCAAATTGTTGTCCCCTGTCAATGGACCATCAACCCTTTCACTGCCTTTTGTAAAATCCTCAACTCACTGCATTCTCCAGCTTTAATTCAGCATTCCACAGAAATGCTTTCAAAGACAATCATTAGGTATATATCTGGCCTACATTGGCTCATGACGGTGCCAGGAAATATGTGGGCTTCCTGACACAAGATCTGGATGTGTAGTCTGACTAAAGGAGTTTGTGGGATTAGGTATGGTGACAGTACCAGCAACAACAGTCTCCAATATCACTTACTCCTGATTTCCTTTGTCAACCTAACTGGATTCTTCCAAATCTCCTTTGTGTACAAAATGGTGACAAGGAAACAAGAACACAGTCTTGTCAACCTTATTGAAGTGTCTGCGGAAACGGTGGACAATGGGCGAGTTTATCCAGCCACAAGGTGAGAAACAGACAGAGAAACTGTAGGGAACTCAGCAGCTAAGCTAACACTGCAAGCATAACAGATGGACAAGGAAGACCCAGTGTATATGACGCTGCTGGGCCATAGCTAACATTTTTGGTAAACACAGAATGACACTTGCAAAGATTAAGATAGACAGGTCAGCAAATACCCATTGAATGCCCAAAATTCACAATCGAAAATTATTACTTTACCGTGATGAGTGAAAACAAAATCAGTAGACGATAAGCCAAAAAAAGATGACAGAAGAAAACAAAAAGATACTAACATTAAGATGGAATACTGCTAAAAAACTCTGACCTTGACCTGCTGTCACTAGGCCCTGACACAGCAACACAGTCTATTACACAAGTGACCTTAGAGTAAAGTTATATCCCACAGGACACAAGAACCAGACAGACAGACACACAGTACTCCACTCCAGGGGTAATCCCTTCTCTAACCACACTACATATACCCTGTCAACAAGTACTTTCACACCTCACAAGAACATCTCTCTCAGATTTGGAGTTCAACTTTTCAAGACTACTGGTATTCATGTCTGAAGTTAATGACAATGTGTCAATGATGTGTGTATATTAAACTCAGGGTTACACTACCAGCATTGACAAAGGTAACATCAAAACTTCACCTGCACTTGCTGTTTTTTTCTGATCAGATGGCACCCAGGTTAGGGTTTTAAGGGTAGGAAATAAGACTTTTCAATAAGGCAATTCAATTTGACACTAGTAGTTTGACAGATGCATTCTGGGTTGAACTTGAAGTGAAGGGCTTACGTGGTACTTAGGTATTTGCAAAACCGACTTCCCAAATGGTATTTGCACAAGGACTTAACTTACCAAATCTCAAGTGAGCAGTGATGCACGTATGCCGGTAGTAAAAATAAAGAAGTGATCCAGGCTTCTATTTGAAGGGTTTATCCTTTGACATATTTACACTAAATTACAGGGAAAACAGAGATGAAGGACTAGACAACAAAATGGTTAGGTCGGGGTGGGGTCAAGGCCCAATCCCTACAACCTGGATTTCCCTTGTCAACACTTACCGAAGTACTCTCCCTGTGGGAGATCGTCAAGTTCACCCTCAAGTTCTCTGGTCATCGCTTCTAGTTTGAGCTCGGCGGATGTCGGCCCTGAGGCCCTCGGCGGCGTCACCTCGTACCGCAGCTTGGGCTTGGCGGTGGTCTGGACCCGACTACCGGCCGCCACCGCTCGCTGTTGCTGTCCGTACGGAGTGGAGTACTGTACCTGGCCGGCCCCGGAAGTGGCTACCACGGTGTCCGTGCCGTATGGCTTGGCCGGGCTATATCCACCCGGCCCCCCGCTATTTTGGCCCGCATGCTTGACATCGTACCCGCCGGTGGGTGTAGTAGGGACAGCAGGGCGGGGGGCCGTGGCGAACCCCCTGCCTTCAAGGCTCGGCCGGCCGAGTTTATCGTAGTTGAGGGATGAAGTCCGTGGGGAGGGGGGCTCCAAGCTCTGCCCCGTGCTGAGCAGGCCTGACCCGGCGGGGCCGGTATGCTTGTAGACAGGGCCTGGGTCATACCCTGTCGGGGGCCCCGCTCGGGAATTTGAGCCCGGGTACGGGGAGGGGTACGCGAGGCTGGAGCGCGGGCTCGAGTGCTGGCTGTCGGAGCTGGCGCCGCTCGAGCGCGGGCTGGAATGGTGCTCGAAGCCCGACAGGCTCGTCCTGGGGCTGGGGTACCTTTCGGCGGGCGGGCTGACCAGGCTGGACCGTGGGGAGGGAAACTTCTCAGCAGGCGGGTTGGAGATGCTGGACCGCGGACTCGAGTGTCGCGAGTCCTGTGAGGAACTCGTCAAGGAAGACCTCGGACTGGAAAGTCGGGAATCGTGCAAAGCCCCCGAGTGGTTCGGCAGAGCGTTCCTCTCCCCCTGCAATTGTTGTGAGTGGTTCGGCTGAACATTTCTCGGACTTTGGGAGTGGTTTTGCAGAGCGGTTCTCGCCGACTGTTGTGGCATGACACCTGGTGACTGCCCGCTGACACTCGATCTTGGGCTGGAATGGTGAGAGTCGAAACTGGCGCTAGAGCGCGGACTGGATTCGTAGCTCGCCCTCCCCCCTTGGTTAGAGGAAAACTGTCGCGGGGGTGGTTGTTGATGCTGGGGGGGCCCCCCTCTCCTCTGACCGGCGTCCGACAGGCCCTCCCCTGAGTAGTTGGATTTCACCGACGCGTAACTTGGCACCGCTCCTGGCGACGGGACTGAAGCGGGAGGGGGGGCCTGGCGGTAGTCCTGGTCTGGGTCCACGACTAACACCCTCTCGACTTGCAGCGGGAAACTTCCGTAAGATTTGCCCCGTCCCTCGGGACTGTACGGAGAGGAAGGAGATGGACTGTCGCGGCGTATCTCGCTTCCGTTGCCTCTGCAGACTGGGATC